TGTGTGTGTGTGTGTGTGTGTGTGTGTGTGTGTGTGTGTGTGTGTGTGTGTGCGCGTGTGCGCGTAAATGCTTGTGTGTTTGTGTGCGTGCGCGCAGGTGTACTTAGGACTGTGCACTCTCTGTGGCTGAACTATACATGCAGTAAGAGAATGTGAGAATGGGTTTTGTGTTGTTTACCCAAACTCTTTTTATTTAAATACGGCTTAAATACGGCTCTACGTTATAACAATTATTTACTATTGTTTATTTTCACTAATGTAATCAGGATGCAGCAAACTCCACCCACTCCGGCTCTGCAGCCAGGTTAAAACAAAAAGTTATTTTCCGAGACAGTTCAGTCCAGGTCTGGTGGACTAGGCAACCATATGGAGAGGGAGCTCTGAAAACATCCCATTTACAGGTCGTATATCACACGTCTGACAGCAGCCATTCTGCCTTGTTTTCATTTCAATCTCGACTGCAGCTGCGTTTCAGAACAGCGAGGCTCTGCCATGTTAACCCGCTGAAGGCTGGAAGATGGAAGTCACCAGAATACACTCTGGGTGTTTAATGTATCTGCTGCCCAATGCTATATATCCATCACCAGCTCACCAAATGACTCAGATCCCTGTTGAGTTGAGCAGCTCTGTTCTGGAGTTCAATACTGATATTTTGATTTTAGAGCTGCAGATGGCCGTTAATATTTAACCATCTTTTAAGTACTGAGAGTTTTCCCTTTCAGGCAAAGATATTTAGAACAATGATGACACCGTCTGGGAGAATAAAACTCCCAAGATGGGAAATGATATGTCTTAAGTTAAAGAAGCTCTTATCTTATCTTAACTAGTCGTTTCTATTGCAGCTAGTCCAACAATATTACATTTGGGATTTAAGAAACTTGCAATACAATACACCAGGCTTGTAATGCTAGTTGAATTACATATTTGAATGTTTATTTTAAAGGTTGAAAAACAACTTTGTTATTCCTAGATCTCGGGCTTGGCAGTATACCCTTAAATCATGTAAATTACATTTTCTCAACCCTTGGGAGGATTTATAATTCATGAGGTTATTATATTTAAGAAGCATCACATTTTAGGTGTTATTGAAGGCGAGAAAGTTGACCAACAATAATACAAGTCTTGAACTACCTTCAAGGCACCGTTACACATATTTAAAATACAGGTTATCTGATCCAGTTATGGACTGTCAGTACCACATGCTTTAACTTAATAATCCGTTCCAGCTCAGATAGAGTAAGAACATCTGCACAATCAATTAATCTGCTGTTTTTGATTTTGGAAATCTTCAGATATCTAGCAAGCTAACATTAGCTGCCTGAATACATTGCAGACACTGATACAGGCTACCACATCAAATACAAAGCAAAAGGTCTATGACTCTTGTAGATGAATGCAAGCCAGAGCCAGCAAGCCACCTGGAGTCACAAGAGTCCTTTAAACTGTGTACAGAGTGCATAGAAACATACAGAGAGTAGAACTGGCATTGAACTGCCATAATAATTTGACTATTCCAAAATGACATAGCGCTTGTAATGTGCATAGACAATAGAAATACAATGGGTTAGTCTGATACAACTTTCACAGTATTTTCAATAGCAAAACAACACATACAAGTAGCTGCCAGTCTGACCATCCTGCTGCTACGTTGATTCTGTTGATAAATAGGAATATCCCTTTTTACTGTCTTACTATTTGTATTAGTGCAGCTATTTACATCACAGTTTACGGGACTGTTGTGAGTACTCTCAGATAGGATAGCTTGTTTTACCAGTTTTATTTCAGGTATCCCTTCATGGATACTTACCTTTACTGGGATAACAAATAAATGACGTTTGTTCCTAGTGTGGCATAAGAATACATAACAGTCAGAATTCATTAATGATACCAAAGTGCATATAATGTTAAAGTAGAAATATTAAAAAAGTTGGTAGTGGATGTTATCCCCTCTAGAACACCCCAATATTGATGTACTCGTCAGACTATAAGTGCTACATAAAATCTGCCATGTCAAAGTTATTTTGAAGAACGTTTGGCCAGTAAAAGACTAAGAGCTGTATCCCCCTAAGTAAATAAACTTCAACAATGAGGTAGGGAAAAAAAACCTACAAAAGCCACATGTCCGTGCCTTTATTGTATTACTTCCCTTAACAAAGTACCTTCTGCCCAAAACAAAGTGAGTGTGAGACGATTTGCTGAGATCTCTACTTTGGGAGCCGCTGCTGTCTGGCTGTAGTGCTTATTTGTAGACGATCAAACCCGCTTCCTTCCACTATGTAATCTGTCCCACATGGATTTCCTCCATAGTCCATTAAAATGTAGCGTAGAGGGGCTAGAGGAGGGATGGGAACAGAGAAAAATAGGTGCCCTTCCTTTGCCTCAACATGCGGCTTTGATAAAAACTTCTGTCATGTTTCAATCAGACTGAAATGTGATTTGCAAGGTTCAGGAAAACGTCTCGATCCCAATCCATCTCCAAGACGGATGCAAATCAGCCCCATGTAATTGTATTGTTGCATCTGTTTTTCCTTTAATGAACTTAGACTTTTAATTGTCATATTTAAATTATTGTTAAGTGGATTTACCAGGAGCACCAAGGGTATGGGTTACAACTTTATCGAGTAGAAGCCACATTTTTGTATAATGTTTACTTTTGGTATGACTTTTGATTCCCTTGTTGGAAACTACTTTTATCCACAACTCCCGGTAAACCCGCGGGTAATCCAGTATTCAGTTCCTTTACTTTTACTTTGGGTAAATGCCAGACTGCAAAAGTGTTCCGTTATGATTATTTAAAAGTACATATTAATTGTGAAATGTTCTTAAAGTTTTAAAGTTAAGGTATTAACTTAATATATAGCTACGTATATATATATATATATACAGTATATATATGTTGCTTATTCTATAACATTTCAACATATTTTATGAGCTCATCATATTGTCTTCTATTTGAAAAATAAACTAGTAAAAAGTCAAATACTTTCAATAAATAATCGAAAATACTCTGTATAAATATATACATTCCACCAAAGATCAGAATATAGTTTTATAATCTTGTGATTGATCTTATATCTCCAAGTTTAACAGTACAGGTATATGACACACGCACACATTTGACAGGTAGGTGTAAGTGGATTAAAAAAACACCTTTTTAAAAAGTTGTTTTATTTCCTTTTTTTCTATCGTTAATCTTTTATTGTCCCTCAGTGGAGGCAGGTAGTGCGAGGTTGAACAGCAGAGAGGGGTCTGTGTTATATTCTCTCACTCCGAGTCTTTCTCAGAGGAACACAGCTGCGGTTTCCAGAAGGAAACATTGCTTTTTCCCATCAGGCTTTTTTGCCTGTGATGGACAGCGGTCTGGTTTTGGCTCGGCCTGCGATGTAGGATGCAGTTTATGAGCCAGAGCACAGCGAGGGGTGGAGGCGAGGGCGTATTCTGGCTCAACCCCCCCCCCCCGCCCCGCACGGAAAAAAGAAGTCCCCCATGACGGAGACCTTTTCGACCTCATCGTGAGAGCATCAGGGGAGAAGACCTGCTCCTTAACCTCTGAGCCCACTTTCTACATAATCCTGAGACCGCAGCCTCTCACTGTTATCTTTCAATTAGGGATTCACTTTCAGTGTTTGTGTTGACTGGTCGTAAGTAATCCCTTTCACACTTTCTTATTATTATATGAAAACCATCTTGTTTTTACTCAGTGTAACATTTTGCAGCATGCAAATCAGATTCAAAATAATTGTTCTCTTGTCAACCAACATAGTGCTTTCAGTGTCCTGTCGAGGCACACAAATGTTTGTCAGTTAATATCCACATGAAAATGTATATAAATAAATCACTTCAAATCATGCAAGGGGGAAAAAGGTCAAGTTAATGTTTCAAAACGTACTGTTCTGTATCAAATAAGGGATTATTCTCTGTCGAGAGTGGGGCACGTTTACAGATATCAATTAGTTGATTATTCAGAGAATGAATCAACAGTTTTGCTGGTTCCAGTTTCTCAATATGTGATGACATTTTTGGAGCAAAGAAAAAGAATACAAGGAGCACACAGGAGAGCTTTGAATTGATGTCAGATGCTTTAAATTTATTGGAATTTACAGCCGGAGAATTGACATATATTCTGAGACACCGAAGTGACACAGCTTCGCGTAAAAGTTATCTTCCCCCGTCACTGATACTTAACCACTCCTAATCCATAATCACTATTATTATTCTACAAGACGCTGTAAATCCTGTCTCTGGCAGGTTAAACTGTCCCCAGGAACGTATCCCCCCGATAAGATGGACCCAGATGTCCTTCCTGCTCTCTGACCCTCTCCATCAACGCTGTCCTGTGATTATCTGAATCAGAGATCGTTAATGACTCTGCCTTATCACAGGAGAAGGCAATGTGCCTGTGCTTAGAGAAAAAAAGGAGTGAGAATTAAAACTTAGCTAAATAAACTAAGCAGATAAATACATTCCATGGCGGTATTATACTTAAATGTATTATACTTAAATGTAAGTAAACTTCGAGAACATTTAACGTCTATTTCACAAAGTAACAGCATTTTCTATTTAACTGGGCTAAACATTAAACAAGCAATACAAACAAAAAAAACACATGTAAACTATTCTCTGAAATTGTAATGTTTTTTGGTCTATTTTCTGATATTTAATAGAACAAACAATGAATCACTTAAATGGCAGTTTAATTGGCGATCCATTTGAATGAAAATAACATCCAACACTGGTTATTCAATTTATCAACACAGCATTTTATGATATGCCCTACAAACTGTCGGCTCATTAACCCTCTTACAGTCAAACATCTTAGCCGGTTTTCAAACCCGTTTAGAGAACAGACTGTTGGTGTCTGTTCTTAATGATTCTATTACAGTCACCTTCACTGTCATCTTGGCTAAATCTGATTTCCTACATGGTGCCGCATTCGTTATTTTGAAGAAAGTATAATGAGTTATCTGCTGCTAACCCTTCTCTCTGTGTGTGTTGTCCAGGCCTTTGTCTCCCTCTCTCTGCTGTACTGGGCTCTGCGGAGTTTCTCCCAGATGTTCAGCATCAGGAAGAAGACCGACTGAGTCAACATAAGAAGACTCAGACCACATTTTACATTTTTATGTCAAAATTGACATTGACATACATCCATACATGTTTTAATGACCTTAAATATTTGTTGATGTAGAGTACGAGACGCAGTTACCTCAGCTTTTGCTTGATTCACTTTAAACGTTTTATGTATAACTGTTTAAGGTCTGTTTATGCTTTAACATGTAAAGCAGCCATAAAACAAGACTCTCACATTTCTCCCTGCTTATAAATGTCTTCTGTGCTTTTTTCTCTACACTGTAATAACAGAGGTGCTGCGGTGATAATTAAAGTACTAATAAATTAACATTTTTATATAATACCTTTACTATGCAACATATACCTCATAAGAAAATGTTTCTTATACTTTTGCCTTTTAATTTTGATTTGCACAACACTGTACGATACATTGTTTCTCAATTTCTTATTGCAATAAAAGATTTGTAATCTCCACTTTTAATTTTCCCTAAAAATACCAGACAACCTGGAGGTTTGTGACGTGCGAGCGTGTGTGTGTGTGTGTGTGTGTAGAAAGAGCAGATTGTCCGCATTAATTCCTCCTCCCAGCCTCCAGATCTTGTGTGGGAGTGACACACAGTCCTCAGCAGATGGTGCTGTTATCAACCGCCAAAAGTCTTGTAAATCCACAAACTGTTTACAAGTGGCAGCTGTGTTCAACAACACTCCTACATCCATGGTTTTGAGAGGCATTAAGTCATACACTCAAATATTAAGGTCAAGTAAAAAAAAAAACAGGAAAAATACTTTGATGTTAGATGTTAAAAATATATTGTTAGGATAGATTATAATTTCATTTCATTCGGGTGTTATGCATAAAGATGAATATTCCACGTCATTTAAATATGTTGATATTAAATAAATTATTGGGTGTGAGATCAGTCTCATCACAAAGCAACCCAATGCAAAATATCCTATGCCTGCCTGCGCCCGTAAGAGTGTGTAAAATCTGTACTTTTTATATGATACTACTTAAACATAACTTTAATATTAACCCCTGATATATCAAAGTCATATTTATAAATAATAGAAAAATCCTCCTCTCACAAAATCATACCTAGATAAATAATTAACAACTGTTTAGTGATAAACAATGCAAAATATGAGTTTGTGGAATTTATGAGAAAGATATCTTATTGTATGTACATGTTTGATCTCATTCCCACAAAACATTATTTCATAAAAGCAGTACTGTTTACATACTAAGGTAAACATTATAATTTCAGTGTGAAACTATGAAAGAATTATTATAACAACACCACAGTACTGTATGCGGTTTATGTAAATGACTGGATTTTGTGAAAGCGGTATGAATATTCATGATGTGTCATATTAACAGGTCTACAGATGGCATCACTGCTTTACGTGCAGCACACCCATGGGCTTCACTGAAATATCAGAAATCTTAATAAATGTGTTCACACCACAGGTGCACATCACATCTGTTGGTACATAATGACCTCATTTGGATGTACATGTGCACTATTAAAATGACTGGGAATACCTAGAACACTAATCACCTCTGTGTTTTATAACTACAAGAAGATACATCTTTTTGTTTTTATATTCAGGTACAATGACATTTTGCAATAATGTTTATGGTGTGGGTAAAAAAAGCAAATTTAATAAAAGCAGTAATAGTTTTACATTGACTACATTCCTGTTTACATCTTTGTATATGTATTTATAACTTCTCATTGTGCATATACAGTAGTACCTCTCTTTATTAGTTCAGTTAATTTATTTGAAATACTGTCAAATATGAATGCTTTATACTTTACTTTAATTGATTGTCGTTTTTATATTTGAGCACTATATTTTAACTTGCTTTATTTTTGGTTTAAATTCTCATTGAATGTTCTACTTGCGTAACTTTCAATTAAATAAACATAAAAAGGGTTTTCACTGCAAATGCTTCACTGTTACTGTCGTGCATATAAATAAAAAATGGAATGTTTTAAATTTTAAATTTATTTATTTTAATGTATTCATCTATTCAACATCACACATGAACATCATACATTCTACATACAACAAAGTCCAGGGGCGGACATACAAAGCAACAAGACATTACATAAAGTAAAGAAAGAAAAAAAGGAAAGAAAAATACATTTTGATACTTCAGATTAAATATTTTGGAGTTGAACCTTTTGTCCCGTCTTTTTCCTAATAAAACATTCTACATCATACCACAATATTCTACAATAGAAGAATTCATAAAAAAAAATTGCCAATAGTCTCTTCTTGTGGATTACAAAACGTAGAGGAATATTCAATATCAAGTCCAAATCGTTGCAGTGTCTTTTTTGCTGGATAGCCTATATTGTGTGTACAATTTTAAAAGAAACCTCCTCAACTTTATTATTGAGCAATAGTTTATTTCGAATTTGAATCTTGAAACTGTTCATGATTTGGTCAGTGATGTCACTGCCACTCATTTCCAGCAGGGCTGAAAACCAAGCACCTGCTGTGACATCACTAATTAGGGTGTGGCCAACTCATGGTTACAGGTTTGGACTCAGGAGGGGGTCACATAACAGGCTTCTCAATACTCAAATTTCCCCTCCTCTCTCGTCGGTTCCCCTCCTCAGTCCTCCGCTCGCATCTCCTGTGGGCGGGACTAAGCATCGAGGATAGGAGTCGAGGAGGGGATATTTAAGAATTGAGAAACCTCTAGAATGCATTTTTATATACAGTAGTATATCATTACAATTATGCTGGATTTTATTTGAGATTATTTTGAGTGGTCCATTTTGTGTTTTGTAAAGAAACCCACAATGTTCACCACAGAAAAAAGCCGAGGTTAGACCCTCTGTTCTCTAAGCTAATAATGGTATCAGCAATTAGCATGTGTTCATTCCTCCACTACATGCAAAGTAAATGGAGTTAGTACAAGTTTGAAGTTTTCTTCCCAGCCTTTTTCAACAACAGAAAATATCAACAAACAGACGTGAGTATCATGACTGCAATAACGTTTCAGGTAAATTTGTTCTTTTGCATTTAGCTAGCAAGACTTGCTAATGTCTTTAGCTCTAGCCTATGCTAAGGAACAAGAAGCTGGGTTTGAGTGTTAAAGGAAGCTTGTCTGAACAGGATGAACTGAAACAATGTACATTAATTTGCAGGTTACTTTTATTCAGTAGAGAAAGATTTATTCAGATGTTTATCTAGGTTGAAGTATACTCCAAAAACAAAGTTTAAAGTCCTGCATTCAAATCTCTTCTTGAGTAACAGAATGTACATATTACAATAACATACTTAAACTATCAAACGTATTGATAGAGCAGTAAAATCATCCCTGTCAGTATTCCACAAGTATACATTTACAAGATGTTTTAGTTATAATGCCACTGCTGCATACATGCATGCGTTGCATTTTTCTGGTCTAAATGTTTAATGTTGTGCTAATTTTAGCTCTTTTTATATAGACTACTCTTGGGCTGTTTAATGGCTGTACGGAACCACATATCTCCACAAAATAGATTTATACATGAATGTAAGTCTAGCTTATTCAGCCTCAGAAGTAGAATAATTTCTTAGCACATAAAATAACACTTAATACTTCAGTCCATTCAAAATATGGAGATACAGTACTTACCTAAAGATTTGAGACACATTTAATGGAGTTAAAGTGTAGTATTTTTGGAGTAGAATTCAAACACTTCAAGTATCAGGATCATAAAGACAAATACAGAAGCAGTAATCTACTCTGTGAGATTCAGAGTGGGTTTACCCATTAGGTATACAAGAGAAAAATAAACCCATTTCTCCCACTAGATGATAGTTTATTGACTGATATTTTTATTTTCATTATCTAGTCCATTTAGTATGATATGAAAATAATGAAAGGTGACCTTATAGTTACCGAATACTATTTTACAGGCAAATATGCAGAGTCCTTCTCTGTGCTGCTCTGCTCTTATTCTCTGCTCTTTAATGATCCACTGGGTTATTGAAGCGATCATCCGACCAGTGGAGAAGCTGACATATTGATCTCAGTGTGGAAGGATATGGCCTTCACCTTTACATGAAATCCTCCTAATGGGCGGTGAGGGAATTCTGCTGGGGGTCTCGCTTAATGGAACAAGGAAATGTTGCTAGAGAAAGACGATCAATGAGTGAGCCAATGAGAATTAGATCTGGCTGTAATGTAAAAGAGGGCAACAAAACAAACCAGTGGTTATTTATTTTTTCACAGCCTCTGGTTTATCTGAAAATAGAAACAATGAATTTTGAAAAACAATTTCATCTAAAAATGTAATCTTATTTCAACTAATGCCTAAGAATGGCAACAACTCTCTATCTCTGTCTCTCTCATGATAAACATGTGGTTCTTTAGAGAATATGACAATGTGTGTGTTCATGGTAAAGAGGAATTGTGTCAGTCAGTGCACCAGTGGCTCTTTGATGGGTGTACACAGCATGTAGACAGCAAAGCTTTCTGTACAGACATTCATGGTTCCAAGAGGATTCATTTTAGGGAATTTAAATGTGGCTATACAACATGGGTTATATAAGTGTAACCAGGTGAACAACTATTAATAGAGATGGTTACTGACAAACTGTTCTAAATGAAAAGCTGTCACTTTAGGAGACGTGTTGACATTTAGAGATCCGCAAAGAGAGGCACACAGTGATGATGTCACGAAATGTAAAAAACTTGCTCTATCCTTTATGACCAGGCTACATTAGTAAGATGTCTCAACAAGTAATAAGACCGCTATCATGATTAACTAAGATGGTAACCATTGAAAACTTCCTACCTTCCTGTAACCTACAGCATTTTAACATTGTCTTTGTTATTGTGTCGTTATGCTAGTGTTAACATTAATTTAGTGCTACTGTTTCAAAGTACAGCCCCGCATTTAGTATGGCTGTAATCTTAGTCTTGTAAGCATTTTTCTGGACAACCTCTATGCTACAGGGGAATTTGCTTAGCGCCTTGGATACAAATTGAATTTGTTAATGATAAAAAAAGAAAATGAAATATGGCCAGACAAAACCACACTCAAAAATGTCAACCTACCGCAGAGAAAGTCAGGAGTGCAGCTCCTTTTCTGCTCCCCACGAGATGTGATATTCACATGCCAGTTTGATATCATCACAGCGCTTGCGTTAGCGTAAGAATGTATTCTGCTCACTGGGTCGAGTACAAATCACATCAGCAGTGTTCAGGAAAACGTTTGAACGCCCGAATGCTCCAGACAACTTCACCTTCGTTGTGCTGACGACTGCTTCAGTACTTGAGGTAAATGCATGGTTGTGATTCACCTCATTAGTACACCTCAGTGCATTCACAACATTTTGAACCAAGTGTTGAGAAAGAAGTATTTTTTAAAACAGTGGCGTGAATGAGTTATGACTTTTAAAGCAAACTTTGAATCTTTTAATGTGTATCAGGGTACTCATCTTTTCAGAATGATAGGGGGTCATGGGCTAGTTAATAACACAATTTCCAAATTTGACTTACTTTTAACATTTCTGTCTACATTTTTTCACTGTACACCTGCATTGCATCATCATTTTCCCTCATTACAACTTACAAGATTGCCTACCACTTGTTTAGTTGGCATTTTCATAATGGGGGAATGGTCAGTGACTTTAAAGTGGACCTATCATGCTATATTTGAATAATATATTGTAGGGCCATACCTATATACAGGACTGTCTCAGAAAATTAGAATATTGTGATAAAGTTCTTTATTTTCTGTAATGCAATTAAAAAAACAAAAATGTCATACATTCTGGATTCATTACAAATCAACTGAAATATTGCAAGCCTTTTATTATTTTAATATTGCTGATTATGGCATACAGCTTAAGAAAACTCAAATATCCTATCTCTAAATATTAGAATATCATGAAAAAGTACAGGACTGTCTCAGAAAATTAGAATATTGTGATAAAGTTCTTTATTTTCTGTAATGCAATTAAAAAAACAAAAATGTCATACATTCTGGATTCATTACAAATCAACTGAAATATTGCAAGCCTTTTATTATTTTAATATTGCTGATTATGGCATACAGCTTAAGAAAACTCAAAAATCCTATCTCAAAAAATTAGAATAGTTCCTCAGACCAAGTAAAAAAAAAAGATTTATAACAGCAAAACACAATCAAACATTTGAAAATGTCCATTAATGCACTCAGTACTTGGTTGGGAATCCTTTTGCACGGATTACTGCATNGATCCGTTGCAGCCCCGTTTTTAGAGATTTGTGTATAGAGGAAAAGAGAGAGGGTTGTGTTTTCTGACACTTGGTGAGTTCCCTGACAAACCGGGGACACATATTCATGTATAAAAGACATACAAAAGTGCATGTTGCATGATAGGTCCCCTTTAAGTTAGATTTGACCTATCAAAAGGAAAACGCAGTCATTCCCTACATTTTTAGGGCAAAAAGTACTCGAAACAACATCGTTTTTCGGTTCAACTGCAAATCCAATCACTTTTTTAGCTAAATAAAGATACTCCAAATGGTATGCCATCTGGATTAGATGTGTAGCATTTGACAGAAATTATTCTCAGCCTGTTAGTCCTCACCGAGTCCGAGCTGCCTCTGAAGGAGTCCAGGCTGTTTTGGGTGCAGGAGGATTTCCTCAACACCTCCTCATCTGTTATATGGCCGTCATTGGTGCTAGCACCCGAGCTCCCATGAGCCTCCTCAAACTCCTCCTGGTCGTAGTCCGACTCTGGGTCTGGCATGTTCTGTTGAGGCCGCTCCTCGATCACAGGCTCAAAGTCGGACCCCCTGCTGACCCTCAGGCTCGGCTGCCTTTCTCCATTAGTGACCACAGGAGGAGGAGGGGGTCTGGAGGTGCGGGAGTCGGAGAGGAAGGGGGCAGGACTCAGTCCGTTGGGGGAAAGGAGTTTTGGTGTAGCAGGAGAGGAGGCAGAGACAGGGACGACAACTAGTCCTTCTGCAAAATCAGGCGGAGGAGGGGGAATACTTTGGAATACTTCTTTGTCCAGAGGAACCACAGCCGGAGGAGGGAAGTCAGGCAAAGGAACACACTCTTCTTCAGCGTGGAAACCCTCATCTACCTCCTCCTCGGCTAGAGGGGCTGTGGAGTCAGTGGGGTCGTGGAGGTTCTCCTCACTGGAGAGGGATGGCTCTAAACCACCAAAGTCCAGGAGCTCCAGAAACTCAGTAGCCACGCGGGAAGCCTCCTTCTCCAGTCTGAAGATCTCAGCGTCTCTCATCTGCCGCAGCTCCTCGTGGGAGACGTCTCCGAGGAGGGACACGCCGTCCTCCTGCTGCTTCTGCAGGCGCTCGATCTCTCTCTCCAGCCGCTGGATCTCCTCCATCTGCCGGCTCTCCTCCTCAGAGGTGTGACTTTGGGACTGGGGCTGCGGCAGCTCCTTATGCAGACAGGACAAGAAAGGGCAAGAGACCTAGAGAGTAAATAAAAGACTTTATGATACCACATTCACATGTCCTTTTCTTCCTGTTATTTGAATATCATTTAGGGAAAAAAAGGAATTACCTTCTGGCAGACTCCATTTACTAGTGACTTCCTAAAAATGAAATGAAAAACACTTAGTGTGACAAGTTTACATAAAGGACAAATCCAAGTCATTTCAAATGATGGCTCTTCAATGTGTCACCAAGAGGGAAAGACTCTACCTTTTCTCCTCTGCTTTAGCTAGAAGTTTCTGGCCTTTCTCCTTCTCCTTCATTACTCTCAGCTCCTCCTCCCTCCTCTTCATCTCCTCGTCAATCAGCCTTTGTCTCTCCCCCTCCTCCTCCCTTTTTCTCTTCTCCTCCTCCTCCTCCTGTAGCCTCCTCTCCTCCATCCTCCTCCTCTCCTCCTCCTCTTCTACGCGCCTTCTCTCCTCTTCCTCTTCTCTCCTCTCCCTCTCCTCCTCCTCTTCCTCTCGTTTCTGTTTCTCCTCCGTGAGATGGCGATGGAGTGATCGGGCCAGCTGGCCTCTGTGATGTTTCTGCAGGATGATGGTGGCGAAGCGCAGGCGCAGGAAGACGCGTCTCCAAAAGTGAGCGCGGTAGTTCTTCTGGATGGTGACCACGCTGGACTGAACCCTCTTATATTGTTTCCTAATGACAACATGAAACACACACATTTAAAGTGGACCTATCATGCTATATTTGAAACATATATTGTTGGGCCATACCTATACAAAACATGTCTGTGAAGTTTTTTTTTCTAAATACCAAACAGATCACCCATGCCTCATACTGCTCAAACCCCTCTGTTGCAGCCATGTTAGAGAAACACGGATCTTGGGTCCTTAGCTTGAAAAAAATAAAGAAGAGGAGGCGGAGCTAATGCCTGATCNCGTATTGCTAGTGTTAACATTAATTTAGCTGCTACTGTTTCAAAGTACAGGCCCCGCATTTAGTATGGCTGTAATCTTAGTCTTGTACGCATTTTTCTGGACAACCTCTATGCCTACAGGGGAAATTTGCTTTAGCGCCTTGGATACCAAATTGATTTGTTAATGATAAAAAAAGGAAAATGAAATAGGCCATGACAAACCACACTCAAAAATGTTTCAACCTCACCGCCAGGAGAAAGTTCAGGAGTGCAGCTCCTTTTTCTGCTCCCCACGAGATGTCGATATCACATGCCCAGTTTGTACGGATCAACAGCGCTTGCGTTAGCGTAAGAATGTATTCTGCTCACTGGGTCGAGTTACAAACACATCAGCAGTGTTCAGGAAAACGTCTTGAACGCCCGAATGCTCCAGACAAACTTCAACCTTCGTTGTGCTGCGACTGCTTCAGTACTTTGAGGTAAATGCATGGTTGTTGATTCACCTCATTAGTACACCTCAGTGCATTCACAACATTTTGAACCAAAGTGTTGAGAAAGAAGTAATTTTTTTAAAACAAGTGGCGCGTGAATGAGTATGACTTTTTTAAAGCAAACTTTGAATCTTCTTAATGTGTATTTCAGGGTTACTCATCTTTTCGAATGATAGGGGTCATGGTCTGAGTTAATACACAATTTCCAAATTTGACGTTACTTTTAAAACAATTTCTGTCTAAATTTTTTCACTGACACCTGCATTGCATTTCATTCATTTTCCCTTCATTACCACTTACAAGATTGCCCTACCACTTGTTTAGTTGGCATTTTCATAATGGGGGAATGGTCAGTGACTTTAAAGTGGACCTATCATGCTATATTTGAATAATATATTGTAGGGCCATACCTATAGGTATATTTATACGTTTTTTTTTTCAAAATACCAAACAGGTCATGTATTTTAGCCATGCCTCATTTCGCTCTATTTTGCTCTCCTCCACCCCTGTCTTTACATGCGCTGCAGCTGACCACGCCCCCCTGCAAAGGAGGGGGGCGAGTTAGGAGCATCATGTTACCATGCTGTTGCCATGCCACGGCAACCTCTCATTCCCCTGATTGGTGAAGAGTTGGCCATATAGGCGGAGCTCCTCGTCACTGACGTCAGACTATTTTCAAATCTGGATCAGTTTGTATCAGATCCGTTAAAGCCCCGTTTTTAGAGATTTGGGTACAGAGGAAAATAGAGAGGGTTGTGTTTTCTGACACTTGGTGAGTTCCCTGACACACCGGGGACACATATTCATGTATAAAAGACATACAAAAGTGCATTTTGCATGATAGGTCCCCTTTAAGTTAATTTGTAATCACATTGGTTCGTCCCTTTTTTATGCTGATAAATAATGTCAAAGTGATTTTAAAGAGCTGTCAAGATAAATAAAAGTACAGTAGCCGCAGAGACTCCAACTGCATCAACGGAAATCTAAATAAGTCCGACCAACACTGCAGCAAAGATGGAAAGAATAAAAGAGCAGATTCTCAATTATATGTAATTGTATCTGTATGTCATCACATTTAAATGTGTGTTTAATCTACACATGTTAGTTGTATCTTTGTATTAACAGTTAAACCAAATTCACACTACAGCTCAACTTGTATGTCTGTGTGGCTCCCTCTTTTTCCTCTTTTCCTCATTACATGGCAGATGGGAAGAGCGAACAAATGTGATTTGCTCCCTCAGAGCCACAGAATGTTCCAGTGACTCATGCTCTGATAATATAGTTCAATGCTTTGCACCAACTGTCTGCAGGGGAAAGGAGGGGAGTCCCTCCACACACACACATATATATATATATATATATATATATATTTTAAGCAATTTTAAAGTATTTTGCAGTATTTTCATACCTTCTCTCTAACCTGACATTGCAGCCTAGCACTCAACGAATACTAGGCAGGTGATTGAATAAGGAATCTATCAATAAACACTCTTACCGCCGCCAGTCAGGAGGAACATTTTAGAGCAAAGCTTTCAGTGCCGATCTTTTATAACAAGGAAATTCACCATTGTTGATGTTTTAGACAAACAGTCCTCTTTCCGTAATGCATCTCGCATGCCTGTAGTTCCTCACAGGCATGGTGGATGTGGCTGCGTGGTCTCTAGCCGACCCAACACTTAAATGTAAGGCTCAAAACAGCTTTTTGTGCGAAATGTGATGACATGATTCATTGGAAGAAACCAGCTGCCATGCTAGGCAATGATAGGTGTGTTTGATGAAGACAATAATCTCACTGACAAGAAATAGGTGCTTTCAAATGAAAAACTACATGAGCACTCCCCCAACGTACTCACACATTTCCTCAAAATGGAAGATGCTTCAGGCTAATTATTGAGTTTGTACGTCAGTCTTTTTTCTTTCTTGATGCTCTTTTGCTTCTGCCTGGGGATGTGATCTCAGTGCGGGAGACCCATCTGTCTGTTAACCAGCCAGCATTAGCCCCATCCCCACGGGAAGGAAGACCCAGGGTCAGCCTGTGTTGGTGCATGGCACAAGACCTTACGTAAAGGTCCCATTATGATCCATGGTGTTCTGCACTAGACTCTACACACAGGTTGCTATTTATAGCACAGAAGGCCAGAAGTGGTGTAGAAGTGATGTATCGACTGTGGGCTGCTGTCACAGTCAGGCGGGTTATGGTGGTGACACCAGCTCTCTTCTGAGTAACAGGCTGATTTGATTGGATTTTAGAAGTTGTAATGTTGATTTACATGGCAATAAATTAACTCTACAACCCATCTGGTGGTCATGGCAGACGATTCAGGCTGCAATATGTGCTCTATGCTGTAATCGTCATACATTAGAATCAGCTCTGGCTAACACTCAGGGAGTCAATACTTTACAATGTTGTGCCTCCCTGGCCAAAGCAAACTGCCACTGTGTGATGATGAAGTTGTTGTTATGACTTCTCACATATTTTATATATACAATTATCTTAATACTGATTAAATCTTTAAGTTTACATGAGAAGCAGCTCAACAGCGTAAGACAATTCCCCACCGGCATACACATTTGTATCAATGTGAGATCTAAAGAAAAAGGAAGTCCCACTCTGCCTTTAGACGATGATCCAACACCTACAGCTTTCATTACTCATTTATTATGAATGAATTCTTCAAAATGATCATACACTTTTATTTCTTTAACACTTTACAGAAAAAGTAATCCATGGTGTCTTCCTAAAAACGATTAGAAGCAGTTTCCAGTTATTAATGCAGACTGTTTTCACCATCCATGTTGGAAAACCTTTTTCTCCATCACTGACCTCAAGCAGTTATTGACAGCCTGCTCCAGGCATATGTGATCCTCTGAGAAAACACAGTCTGCAGACTCAGACTTTAATGATAAAGTCATTTATCTGTCAGGGTAATGTATGAGTCCAACGTTCAGCTTTACCACCAATGTCTTGTGACCTTAAAATATTGGACTACATTCCTGCTGCTACAAGTCTCGTTCTCAACACTTACTAGCTTAATGTTAGTACATGACACTGGTGCAGGCAGCACAAAATGAATAATGCACAAGCATTGAGCACCATTTGTCTAGCAAAGCAATAATCTCTTGTTCTGCAGTGTAGCCATAATGTTGGTTTACTGAATGCTCCATGGGTGTTTGAGAGGTGGTTTGACAGGGATATTTGTGATTTCAAATGGTTGAACTAATTTGCAGTGTTCAATTTTTTTGCAAAATCAAATGGGTGCTTTTACTTTTATCACCATCTTTGAATCCAGTCTCAACATTGGGTTTCTGTGCCTCAAGTTTCTTTTTCAAGAGGACATAGGGCGCCATAACATATTTTCTCCAAAGAAAACATTCTAAGACTAAATTGGTTTACTTGGGGAGAAAAAAATGTTGGGCTATGAGAGACCAAAACTTCCAATCTCTGAAATGCAGTACAGGAAAGTGGCGCAGGACTGTTAAACGTAGATTCTGTTTATTGAGACAAATTAAAAACTTTGATTTGAATTTGAATTGATGCAGTCAGTTGCCAGGGAGGCTACTCCAACCTGCCTATAGTCTGCCTGACCCACATACACAATGACCTCAAGAGATCTCGTAAGGAAGCAGGTCTGAAGCTCTCACCAGTGACGGACATATCTGACGTGTATCCTTTGTGTATGTAATCTCCATGTAAAACTGTGTATGTAATCTCCATGTAAAACTGTGTATGTAATCTCCATGTAAAACTGTGTATGTAATCTCCTCCACGTAAAACTGTGTATGTAATCCCCATGTAAAACTGTGTATGTAATCTCCATGTAAAACTGTGTATGTAATCTCCATGTAAAACTGTGTATGTAATCTCCATGTAAAACTCAACCGCAAAGTTTTACATTAATATAGAGTGGGCTCGGACTTTATTGTGTATATCAAGAGCTGGATGTATAACGTTGGTTTAATTAGT